TTTAGAAAAGTGATCTTCCTTCTTTTAGAAAAATGTTCCTTATTTGTTTCTTTTTTGTGACAAAGGGTCTCCAAAAAGTTCATGAGGTTAGGGCGAGGATTGCAAGAAAAAGATAAGGTTATGAAGGAGGCTATTCATAAGCGTATGTCTGCATTGGTGAAGAAGGAGTCCATTGATGAAGAATATGCCAAACTTTGTGAAGAGATGCTGGTTCTTCAGGCTCAAATACTCAGCCTAACAGACGAGAACAAAAAGCCTACAGTGGATGTGGTGGAATTGAAACTTCGGAGAGTGCAATGAATGTGGAGCTTTCCCAAACCCAGCTTGAACACTCCAACCTTTTAGAAGAATTTGAGCAGTTTAAGGTTGAAGCCAAGGATCTGTAAGATACTGACTTCAAACAAGGGATGGTGAAGACGGAGAATGTACCTTCTTCTACTCTGAAAGCTGTAAATGTACCTTCTTCTTCTGAGCTTTTTCTCCGCTACACTACCCTAAGCTCATCTGGACCACCTGCCTCTTCTTGAGAACAGAGAAAACAAAAAATTTTGTACTATTTTCATGTGAAAAGGTCAATGTACTTTCATTCCTTTTTATATATCTATGAAAGAAATTTAAGTTTGGTCTTTCGTGCTTAGCATGGGACTTTTTAGTGTTTTGCTCAGTTCTTTCTAGGCTATAATGCAATCCTTCGCATTTATTTAGGGGTCTGCCAAATCATTAAGCTTGGCATTTCTTCACGGAGTCCTGCCCCAAGTACTTAGCAAAGGACTTTTTGTACTCAAAAAAGATATTTTCTAAGAAAATATAGCCTTTATTCGGCCCTTCTTCGAAAAGCTCAGTCCCAAGCACTTTTTAGGGATTTTTACTATCAACACTTAGAAAAAATATTTGCTCTAAGAATTTATGGCCTTTACTCAGCCCTTCTTCAAAGAGTTCGGTCCGAAGCACTTTGCTAGGGACTTTTACTATAAATACTTAGAAAAAAATCTTTGCTCTAATAAGTTATGGTCTTTGCTCGGCCCTTCTTTGAAGAGCTTGACCCGAAGCACTTTGTTAGGGACTTTTACTATCAATGCGTAGAAAATATATTTGCTTTAAGAAGTCATGGCCTTTGTTCGGCTCTTCTTCGAAGACATCTGTCCCAAGCACTATGCTAGGGACTTTTAATACTAAGAGAATTTTCTATGGAGATTTTTCTAAGAACACTTGGCCCACTTGGGCCTTTCTTCAAAGAGTTAGTTTTCGTGTACACACCAACCTGCTGATCTAATTGGACTCAGATCATTACACGTTCGGTTTACATCGTCATGCCTAACCTTGGGTCTGGATTTGATCTGGTGGCTATGCTTGATTTAGGCTTCTACCTCTATCAGCTCCTTGCCTTGGCAGTAGGATGGGTTTGATAAACTCAATATTTGACGAATCCATTAAAAATGCTTTATTTATAAAAAAAATACTTTTAGATACACAAAAAAATATTCCTAACAAAGGTACTCTTTTATTTCTTATTGGTATAGACCTATAGGGGGTACCCTTATTTCCCAAAGGTACTTCAGAGTTCGTATTTGTGAAGGCACTTCAAAAATAGAATTTTCACAGATTAGATGTATTCCTAGGTTGGGGTACCCATCTCTGGTCCATAGTCTTGAGTTCGTAGGATCTGTTTTCTACGACTCGGGTTACCCTGTAAGGTCCCTCCTAGTTAGCACCCAACTTCACATGTGTCGGATCCTTGGCGATCCTCATAACACGTTTGAGGACTAGGTTTCTAAGGACAACCGCACGGTGACTAACTCTCTTATTGTAAGCCCGATCTATTTGCTACTAATAAGCAGCTATGTGCACTACTGCCGCCTCCCTCTTTTCATCGAGTAAATCTAGCTCTCGACTGATGGCAGAGTCATTACTCCCATTCATTGCTAGGTCGATCCTGAGCGTAGGCAACCCAATTTTCAATGATATCACAACCTTCATGCCGTAAGCAGTGTAAATGAAGTTTCCCCCATTGCATGTTCAGGTGTGGTTTGGTACATCCATAATATGCAAGACAACTCTTCTACCCATCTTCCTTTTGCCTTCTCTTACCTTTTCTTGATTCCATCAAGGATGATTTTATTCTAGATTTCTGCCTACCCATTACTCAGTGGATAGGCGGGCGTGAAATATCAATTCTAAATTCCATATTGCTAACAGAAAGCTTTGAAGAGTCAGCTACCAAATTGAGTCCTGTTGTCAAATATAAGAATAGCTAGTATGTTAAACCTTGTGATAATATTCTTCCACACTAATTTTTTAGTATTAGTATCCCTTATGTTGGTCAAAGGTTCCGCTTCCACCCATTTCGTAAAAGAATCGGTTGTAACTAGTAGGAACTGCTAGTTTCCTAGAGCTCGGGGTAATGAGCCAACTACGTCAAGCCCTCATTGGGTGAAAGGCCAAGGGCCAATTAATAGGAGTAAATCTTCTGCAGGCTGCCTAGGAACTGGGGAAAAAGCTTGGCACTTTTTGCATGAAGAAAACTTTGTTTGATGAAGAAAACTTTTTGCATGAGTAAAAATCGCAATACCTCCTAGGTCTGATGAATAAAACTTTGTTCCTCTTTGAAAACCCTTCCTACAAAAATGAAAAAACTACCTAGGATCGAAGTGCTTCGATCGAAGGCACTCTGATACTTAAGTTAGTAACTGTGTAAAAGGAAAAATATATGCAACGAGGATTCTACTTACCTTTTCCCATGCATCCTGACTACTTTAAATAGACTTTCCCCTGTTTCTAGGGTTTCCTTTACTGGTGTGGGAGATGACACATATCCTTTCATTCGGGAATGTTTGTTGGGGATTGCAGAAATCTGTCAGACGCTCCCTTGATTACAACTCTTCTGAATCATTGACTTCGTTTAGTTGTTCCACCTAAATTCCCTAATTATAGGCGTTTTTCTCGTTGTTCGGTTCAGGCCACGCCTTCAAGCTGAGCTGTCCATTTGTGCTAGGTAGTATGAATCGAGCTTTTGCAGTTCAATTTGATTCATCCCAAACTGCTTAAATTTATGACCCACGTGACCTGTCCCTTCATGATCATGTGCATGTATCACCTACCTATACATGTGACATAATTTTATGCTCCTTCATAAATAATCAACAAAGTAGATCAGATAAAGAAATTGACATAATTTTTACCAAAAAAATCTATGAAAATGTTACATACCTTGTCCTCAGACATATCTTTTTCTTCCGACGAGCAATGAAGAATGGGGCTTTTAGATTTGAAGTAGAAGGGGCATTCCAATTCTGATGCAGAATGTGTATAACATGCATATTTGGTGGAGGTTGCTAGGGCTTTCAAATTTGCTTAGCCTTTTCTGATCTGCTGGGGCTTTGAGTCTTTGACGAAATGGTAGGGTTCTGGCGTGGTGGAGGCAACGAATTAGGTTAGGGATCGAAATTTGGAAATTTAGCTATTTAAGGTCTTAAAACTTTGAGAAGAGAAGGGAAAGGAAGAGAGTGTGGCCACACCTATTGGGGAAGAGAGACAGAGTCGTCGCCACCTTGTGCTCAATAATCAGTTAACCAAAGAGAGACGTTAGATTTAGAGGGTTTCTATATTTTTATAATTATATTATAATATGTTATATAATTTACAATTTATATAAAATTATTTTTTAATAAAATTATTTCTATCTGGTGTCCTTTGTGTCGTCTTCTGGAGTGTCGAACATCTTCATCGCCAACCTCCTTTTCTTTGACACTCCTAAGCTTTTCCTTTAACTTCTCATTTTCACGCTTTAAAGCCTTCTCTCTTGTGTATGGCTTCTTAAACATCACGTCATGTGCATCTAATCGGTCTTGTAGAGACTGAACCAACTTTGTTAGGGCGGGATTATCCCCCTTGACACGGAGGGATTTGTCCTGCGGACTATCATTCTGGTTTTTATTGTTGTCAGGTTTGAAACTAGCGGAAAATATCTTATCATCATATTGTTCATCTTGGTTTTCATAAATTTCTACCCTTATGTCGTTATTCGAGGGGAACGACACACGATAGTTTGGATTCGAGTCCTCTTACTACACATCAGAACTGGCCAATGATCCAATAGTGCTATCAACATTGCCATTGTTTTTTGTTCGAGATGTATTCTCACAGACAGTGCCAAATGTAGGAGGAAAAATTGCAATACCTCCTAGGTTTGATGAAGAAAACTTTGTTCCTCTTTGAAAGCCTTTCCTATAAAAATGAACAAACTGCCTAGGATCGAAGTGCTTCGATCGAAGGCACTCTGATGCTTAAGTTAATAACTATGTAAGAGAAAAAATGTATACAACGAGGATTCTACTTACCTTTTGCCATGCATCCAGATTACTTTATATAGACTTTTCCTAGTTTCTAGGGTTTCCTTTACTGGTGTGGGAGATGACACATCTCTTTTCATTCAGGAATGTTTGTTGGGGATCGCAGAAATCTCTCAGACCTTCCCTTGATTGCAGCTCTTCTGAATCATTGACTTTGTTTAGTTGTTGCACCTAAATTCTCTAATTATAGGCGCTTTTCTCGTTGTTCGGTTCATGCCACGCCTTCAAGCTGAGTTGTGCATTTGTGCAATAGTATGAATCGAGTTGTTGCAGTTTGGTTCAGTTCATCCCAAATTGCTTATATTTGTGACCCACATGACCTGTCCATTCATGATCACGTGCGTGTATTATCTGCCTATACACATGACAAAATTTTATGCCCCTTCATAAATAATCAACAAAGTAGACCAAATCAAGAAATTGACACAATTTTTCCCAAAAAAATCTATGGAAGTATTACATACCTTGTCCTCAAACATATATTTTTGTTCCGGCGAGCAATGAAGAATAGAGGTTTTTAGATTTGAAGCAGAAGGGGCATTCCAATTCTGAGGCAAAAGGTGTATAACATACATATTTGGTGGAGGTTGCTAGGGTTTTCAAATTTGCTCGGCCTTGTCAGATCTGCTAGGGCTTTGAGTCTTTGACGAAATGGTGGGGTTCTGGTGTGGTGGAGGCAACGAATTAGGTTGGGGTTCAAAATTTGGGGATTTAGCCATTAAAGGTCTTAAAACTTTGAGAAGAGAAGGGAAGGGAAGAGTGGCCATAGCTCGTCGGGGAAGAGAAACGGGGTCGTCGCCACCTGGTGCTCAATAGTCACTTAGCCAGAGAGAGAGAGAGAGAATAAGGATTTTAGGGTTAGGGAGGGTTTCTATATTTTTATAATTATATTATAATATATTATATAATTTACAATTTATATAAAATTATTTCTTAATAAAAATCAGAGTTGAAATTTTTTTCAAAAAAATTTAAGACTCTTACTTGGACTCCGACTCCAATTCCGACTCCAACTCCAACTCCAACTCCAACTCCAAGGGAGTCGAATTTTTGAACTCTTGCGCACAATTAACTTTCAGTCAGATTTACGCCTGTAGTGCCAAATTTTTAGGGTTTCAACAGGTGTTGAAGGATGTATAGAAATGCGATAGTGGGACCCACGTACGACTGTCAAGATTGAAATTCACCCCTATTACTAAAATTCGAAATCGAAAAGATCCGGATTCGAGAGAACCCAAATCACCTATAAATATGCATGACTGTCCCGCCAGTCTTCAAAACACGGAGCAGAGCGCATAGCGTGTGAAGAGAGAGGCTGAAGGGAGAGAGAGAAAGTGGTGTAGGAGAGAGAAGCAGAAAATGGAGGGGAATTCCAGGTCTCTCTCTCTCTCACCCTCTCTATCTATCTTTACCTCGTTCGATTACTTTCGATCTCTCTTCTCTATTTGTTGAAATACGGTTTGTTGCTAATGAAAGCCTGAAGATCCCTACGTCAACTTCAGAGAACGCTACTACCAAAGGAGCAACCAATGCTAGGTGCATGAATTTTGATCTTTTCTGTAATCTCACTTTTTCCAATAATCGATGAAAAGTCTTTGAAGTTTTGGAAATTTGTTGTTTGATGGAGTTTTCTGTACAAATTCGTTTTTCCTTAGCAATGCTAATCGTGATGAGGATGCCATGACTGTGATGAATACACATGTTGCTGAATACCTGGAGAAATTAGGGCTTTAGGAGGCCGCTAATGAGTTCTCAAAAAGAGCTCCAAAGGATCCACTGCCTGAAGTGGAATTGACTCAAGTTTTGCCACAATTTTACGCTGCTTCACGTATCTTGGAGGCAACGGAAATGGAACAGCAAGCAGTGAGTTTGTATTCCTTGTATTTTTTTATTTCTGTTTTCTCTTACCTCAAAAATATACACTGTGTGTGTGTGTGTGTCTGTCTGTCTGCGTGTGCTAGAGGCATATTCTCTGGTGAAAATGTACTTATGACTTGTTACATTGCATAGAATCCAGAAGGACCAATAACTGCTGCGGAGAGGAGTCGAATCTGGTCGAAACTGCATAGTGGGCATGATACTTTTATTGAGAAGCAGGCTGTGAGTATCATTTATTTATGAGATTTGTGTTTCTTGTTAATTTCTTACCTCACACAACACATTCAGATGTGTGTGTTTGTACTCTGTACATATATTCTTTGTATACTGTTGTGTTTGTATACATTTATGACTATTCACATATCTCTGTTTGTATCTGGCTGAAATAGACAGAGAAAGTGGAGAGGAATTTCAGGTTTTTCTCTCTACCTCTTTCGGTCCCTCTCAATAGATCTCTACTCTGTATTTTCTAAAATTCTGTTTTTTTTTGTTTTTGATTCAAATGAAGCCTGGAGATCCGTAAGGCAACTTCAAAGAATCGAACTAGCAAAGGAGCAACTAGTGCTAGGTGCATGATTTTTTAATCTTTTTTTTAATTTTGATTGTTGAATGAATTGATGATAAATCTTTGAAATTTTTGGAAATTTGTTGTTTGATGGACATTTTCGGTAAAAATTCGTTCTTCCTTTGCAGTGTTGATCGTAATGAGGAGGCTATGATAATGCTGAATGGCTTGGTCGCTGAATATATAAAGAAATTAGGGCTCGTGGAGGCCACTGAAGAATTTTTAAAGAGAGCTCTGAAGCTTACCAATCAAATCGGACCGGTCCTATGGCATATTTAGCGATCAACTATATACTTAAATCAGGATCGGTCAAATAACTGATCTTGTGCTACAATCAATAGGATCGGTTTTGTTACGATCTTGGCAACATAGCGACTGATCTAAATGTAAAATCATTTTTTTGGTAATTATTATCTACTCCCTCACTGGATAGACATATTTTCAATCAAACCCCAAACAATTTTTGTATGAACAAATCAATTAAAATTTGAGTTGATGAATTTTTTTTTTTACATATTAAAATTCAAGCCGATTAAAATTTATTTTTCTCCAAATATTTGAGAAGATAGAATTGATTAAATTTTATTTTTTTATGAATTTTAAGTCTATTAACATGAAATTGAATGTTAATTTGATTAATTGAATATTAATTGGATGAATTTGTATGTCACTTTGGTATTGATTTGGTGAATTGAAACTTTATTGGATGATTTAGGATATTAATTTGATGAGTTGAGTTTTAATTGGATGAATTTAAAGAGAAATTAGATGAATTGAATTTAAATGTTAATTTAATGAATTGAATATTTATTAGATGAATTAAATGTTAATTTGGTGTTAATTGAATACTTTATATATAAAATTGAAAAAAATTGATATTTTAGATCTGAAAAAATATCCATCTTTAAGGGACAAAAATGTTATCATCCAATTAACATTTGGGGCAAGTTACCACTTATGGGGTAAGTTATTACTTTTCGGGGTAAGTTACTAATTTTGTGGGGTAAGTTATCATTATTTGAGGGTAAGGTACCACTTTTTTTGGGTAAGATACTACTTTTAGGGGATAAATTACCACTTTTTGGGAGTAAAATACCATGTTTTTGGAGTAAAACACCACTTTTTGGGTATATGTTACCACTTTTAGGGGGTAAGTTACCACTTTTTGGAGGTAAGGTACAACTGTTTAAGTGTAAGGTACTACTTTTTTAGGGTAAATTACAACTCTTTGGGGGTAAGATATCACTTATTTTGGGGGAAAATGTACCACTTTTGGGGGAAAAATGTACTACTTTTTTTGGGGTAAATTACAACTATTTCGAGATAAAGTACCAATTTTGGGGGTAAGTTATAACTGTTTTGGGGGGGGGGGGGGTAAGACACTTCTTTTTGAAGGGTAAAATACCACTTTTTGGGGGGTAAGTTATCACTTTTGTGGGGGTAAGGTATCACTTTTAGGGGGTCAATTATCACTTTTTGGGAGTAAGGTACAACTGTTTGGGGGGTAAGGTACCACTTTATGGAGATAAATTACAACTGTTGGGGGTAACGCACCACTTTTTTGGGATAAGTTATAACTGCTTGGTGGTAAGGTACTACTTTTTGGGATAAAGCATCACTTTGAAAAGTTACCACTTTTGTAGGATAAATTACCACTTTTTGAGGTAAGATATTACTTTTTTGGGATAAGGTACAATTTTTTGAGAGAAACCAATGAAACCAGTTATGAGTTTTTGATGTTTAGATGTCAACTACTTAAATACTTTACTTTTTCAGTACTATATCAAAAAAGTTAAGGGTGGTACGCACATGTCCTTCTTGGATACACCCTTACCTATCATTCATTTATTCTAGTCCCTAGTCGAAGCAATGCAACTCATGCTGAGGATCGAGATACATTACAAGCTCAACGTGTTGCTACCCCTCGTTCTCGGCAAAAATATGTTGTCCCTTCGTTTGGAAGGAACAGATCGATGAAGAACTTTCTAAGTTTTCTTTCTTCGAGTGACCTTACTGAATTCGCCCCTTCAGTTGTTTAGATTCCTGATGATGCAGCCCATTCACCTGCTCTAGAGGTCGAGCAGATAATTTCTTCACGTGATGCCCCTAAACCCATTGAGGCTCAAGTCATTCACAAGGGTTCAGTTCTTCAGTTTGTTCCTATTCCCGAGGTGACTCCCATTGATCTTACTATTACTTCTTTGCCAGCATGATCGCTTGTTTAGGAGGTGCAAGTCGAGGAACGCACGACAAAGAAGAGAAAGATCATAGAGTCATCGTCTAAGGCTCTTGTTGAACGATAAATTCCTTATTTCTACCCCATCCGAAAAGCGAAAGGAAATGAGATTACTGTTTGGGACTCAGTTGCCGAGGACGTGAATGTCACAGTGGGAATAGCCAGGATAGTGATCTTGCCTTAAGACCTTGCTGCGAATGAGGCAGTGTCTGATGGTGAGATCACTCGGTAGGCTATTCAGCAAATGGTTCTAGTATTTGCCTTCTATTTACTTTGCCTTTTTAGAAAAGTGATCTTCCTTCTTTTAGAAAAGTGTTCCTCATTTGTTCCTTTTTTGTGACAAGGGTATCCAAAAAGTTCACGAGGTTAGGGTGAGGATTGCAAGAAAAAGATAAGGTGAGACTATTAATAAGCGTATGTCTGCACTAGCGAAGAAGAAGTCCATTGATGAAGAATATTCCAAGCTTTGTCAAGAGATGCTGGTTCTTCAGGCTCAAATGCTCAACCTAACAGACGAGAACAAAAAGCTTTTGGTAGAGGTGGTGGAATTGAAAACTTCAGAGAGTGCAATCAATGTGAAGTTTTCCCAAACTCAACTTGAACACTCCAACCTTTTGGAAGATTTTGAGCGGTTTAAGGGTGAAGCCAAGGATCTGTAGGATGCTGCCTTTAAACAAGGGATGATGAAGACAGAGAATGACTTGGCCATGCAGATTCCTTCACTGGAAAATGTGTACTTTACAAAGGGTTGGCTTTTTGCTCTGAAAGCTGCAAATGTACCTTCTTCTTCTGAGCTTTTTCTTTGCTAAACTACCTTGAACTCCTCTGGACCACTTGTCTCTTCCTTAGAACAAAGAAAACAAAAACCTTTTGTACTATTTTCATGTGAAAATATCAATGTACTTTCATTCCTTCTGATATATCTATGAAAGAACTTTAAGTTTGGTCTTTCGTTCTTAGGTAGGGACTTTTGAGTGTTTTGCTTAGTTTTTCTAGGCTATAATGCAATCCTTCTCATTTAGTTAGGGGTCTGCCAAATCCTTAAGCTTGGCCTTTCTTCACAGAGTCCAGTTCCAAGCACTTAGCAAAGGACTTTTTATACTAAAAAAAAATATTTTCTAAGAAGCTATAGCCTTTACTCATCCCTTCTTTGAAAAGCTCAGTCCCAAGCACTTTTCTAGGGATTTTTACTATCAACACTTAGAAAAAAATTTTGCTCTAGGAAGTTATGGCCTTTGCTTAGCCCTTCCTCGAAGTGCTCGGTCCGAAGCACTTTGCTAGGGACTTTTACTATCAATACTTGGAAAAAATCTTTGCTCTAAGAAGCTATAGCCTCTGCTCAGCCCTTCTTCAAAGAGCTAGTTCTGAAGCACTTTCCTAGGGACTTTTACTATCAATACTTAGAAAAAATATTTGCTCTAAGAAGTTATGACCTTTGCTAGGCCATTCTTCGAAGAGCTCGGTCCCAAGCACTATGCTAGGGACTTTTACTACTTAGAGAGTTTTCTGCGGAGATTTTTCTAAGAAGACTTGGTCCAATTGGTTCTTTCTTCAAAGAGTCATTTTTCATTTATGCATCGACCTGCTGATCTAATCGGACTCAGATCATTACCCGTTTTGTTTACATCCTCATGCCTAACCTTGGGTTTGGATTTGATCAAGTGGCTAAGCCTGATTTAGGCTTCTACCTCAATCGGCTCCTACCTTGGCAGTAAGATGGGTTTGATAAATTCAGCTTCTGAAAAATCCATTAAAATATGCTTTATTTATAAAAAATGTTTTTCAGATACATAGAAAAATATTCCTAACAAAGGTACTCTTTTAGTTCTTATTGGTATGGACCTATAGGGGGTATCCCTATTTCCCGAAGGTACTTTGGAGTTTGTATTCGTAAAGGCACTTCAAAAATATAACTTTCGCAGATTAGATGTATTACAAGGTCGGGGTATCTGTCTTTGGTCCATAGTCTCAAGTTTGTAGGATCCGTTTCTTGCAACTAGAGTTACCTTGTAGGGTCCCTCCTAGTTAGCACCCAACTTCCCATGCGTCGGATCTTTGGCGGCTTTCATAACACGTCTGAGGAATAGGTCTCCAAGGACAAATGTATGGGGACTAACTCTCTTATTGTAAACCCGAGCTATTTGCTGCTGATAGGCAGCTATGCGTATTATTGCCACCTCCCTTTTTTCATCGAGTAAATCCAACTCTCGGCTGGTGGCAGAGTAATTACTCCCATTCATTGTTAGGTTGATCTTGAGCGTAGGCAACCCGATTTCCAAGGATATCACGGCCTCCATGCCGTAAGCAAGTGAAAATGGAGTTTCACCTGTTGCATGCCGGGGTGTGGTTTGGTACGTCCATATTACGCTGAACAACTCTTCTACCCATCTTCTTTTTGCCTTCTCTAACATTTTTTTTGAGTCCATCAGGGATGGTTTTATTCGAGACTTATGCCTGCCCATTTCTTTGTGGGTAGGCGGCCATGGAATATCGATTATGAATTCCATATTGCTGACAGAAAGCATTGAAGGACCAATTATCAAACTGAGTCCCATTTTTAGATATAAGAATGACTAGTATGCTGAACCTTGTTAATATATTCTTCCACACGAATTTTCTGGTATTAGTATCCCTTATGTTGGCCAAAGATTTTGCCTCCACCCAATTCATAAAAGAATTGATTGCAACTAGCAGGAACTGCTTGTTACCTAGAGCTTGGGGTAATGGGCCAACTACGTCAAGCCCCCACTAGGTGAAAGGCCAAGGGCTTGTTAATGGGAGTAAATCTTGTGCAGGTTGCCTAGGAACTTGGGAAAAAGCCTGGCACTTTTTGCATCGCCTAATAAATTGTTGTGCATCTTTTTGCATGTATGGTCACCAATATCCTTGAGACAGCACTCTGTGGACAAGTGACCTTCGTTCTGTGTGTGCTCCAGAGCTCCCTTCATGGATTTTGAACAGAAAATCCTAGACCAAGTCGGGATGTACATACCTAAGGCACGGTCTGGAGAACGAACATCGATAAAGTTCTTATTTTGGGGATAACCAAAACCTTGCCAATTTGAGCCATAATTTATGCGCTTCCCTTTATTTTGGGAGGGTCTCCGTTCTTGAGATAGTCAACGATTTCATCTTTCCAACTCGGTTTGACTTTGTTAGCAAGGACTTTTTCTATTGTTGGAAGTGTGATGCTCGGTTTAGCTTGGTACCCTACCATGATTGTTCTCCCCCATTTTTCCTTTACAGTTGAGGCTAGGGAGGCCAACACATCAACATGTGCATTCCTTGCGCAACCGACCTGACTGATGGAGAACTCTGGGATTTGACTGAGTTCCTTTATTGATAAATCGTAGTATGAGACCATTCTTTTGTCCTTCACTGAGTATTCTCCTAGTATCAGATTCACCACCTACTGTGAATCAGAAAAGATTTAAAGCTTGGTAATGTTCAAGTTAGGTGCAAGCTTTAGTCTGGCTAGCAAGACTTCATACTCTACCTCGTTGTTTGAGGCCTGGAAACCAAGTCTTACAACTCTTTCAAGTATGTCCCCTTTCGAGCTTTCAAGTATGATACCAACTTTTGCTCCTTTATAATTTGATGAACCATCGACGAACATGCTCCAAATTTTCTTTGTGTCTGTCGTGTCATTCAAACTCGAAGGGTTGCATTTCAATGTGATGATTTCTAGGTGAGAACTCGGCTATAAATTCAACCACCACTTGCCCTTTTTTTACTTTTTGTGGCTCCTTTTTTTACTTTTTGTGGCTCATTTTTTTACTTTTTGTGGCTCAAAGAGGATGTCGTATTCCCCGAGCCCTACGACCCATCTAGATATTCTTCTAGATAGGTCAGCCATCCGAAACAAGGCTTTGAGTGGTTGGTCGATGAGCACCACTATGGTATGAGCTTGGAAGTAATGTCATAACTTCTGAGCCGCATTTACAAGTGCGAGCACACAAGCTTTTCAAGTGGCAAGTATCTCGTCCTGATATCAAGGAGCATCTTACTGACATCATAGATCAGGCACAACCCCTTTTGGGAGTTTTTCATCAGAGCTCCACTGACTGTGTGCTCGGACACTACTAGGTACAAGTACAACCATTCCTTTGGGGATGGTGTAGTTAATAGGGCAGAAGCAGCCAAATAGGACTTTAGGTTATGAAAGGCCTCTTCACACTCTTGATCCCATATTTGCTCGCCTTTTCGCTTAATGGACTGAAAAAATGGTCAGCATTTATCGGAGGCTCTGGATATAAACCTACCCAGTGTTGTCGCCATCCCCTGTTAACCTTTGCATTTCTTTAATTATTTTTGGTTGTTACAACGATGTGAAGGCCGTAACTTGATCTGGATTCGCCTCAATTCCATGATGTGTGACTAAGAAGCCCAAAATTTTTTCGGAACTGACCCCAAATGCACATTTTGAAGCGTTCTACTTCATGCTATATTTGCAGAGGACATCAAAAGTTCCTCTTTAGATCAACAATTTGTTCATTGGCTTTTCGACTATTTACCACCATATCATCGATGTAGACTTCCATAGTATCGCCAAGCATGTCAGAGAACATCTTTTTCACCAATCTTTGGTACATTGCCATAGCGTTTTTAGTCCAAACGGCATAACCCTATAACAATAAGTTTCCTCAAGGGTTATGAATGATATTTTCTCCTGATCCTGCTTGCTAATGGGGGATCTGGTGGTATCTTCTGTATGCATCAAGGAAACTCATTCATTCGTATCAGAAGGTTGCATCAACTAATTGATCGATCTTGGGCAATGGACAACTATCTTTAGGACATGTCTTTTTCAGGTCGGTAAAGTCTACACACACACTCCATTTTCCTATTTTCTTCTTCACCATCACCATATTTGACAACTAGGTCAGGTACTTGACTTCTTTGATGGTCCATGCTTCCAGCAGTCTTGCCACCTCTTCTTTTACTGCCTCTCTATGTTGCGGTCCCAACCTCCTCTATTTTTTTTTTATTGGTTTGAAGCATGGGTCGATATTTAGGTGAAGGCAAGCGACTTCGGGGGGTACCCCCGACATTTTACATGTCGTCTAGACAAACACATCAATGTATTACTTGAGAAGCGAGACTAATCTTGTGTATTCCTCAGCCATTAATGAAGATCCTAATAAGAAATACTTTTTGGCAATTTCATCTAAAGGCACTTTATTTAGATCTTCTATAGTGCGCTCGGTCGGCTCGGTGTACTTATCTTCGACGGGCGACTACTCAGACCTAATTGCTATTTCCTGGTTTCTTGAGTCGCGACCCTTTCTTGTACTTTAGTGCCTCCCTTTCCTTTAACCGAGGCCAAGGGACAGGTTAATAAACTTGCCTAGTCCCCCCAAACATTAATTATCCCATCTTTTGTTGGAAATCTAAGCATTTGATGGTAAGTCAAAGGGATCACTCTCTTCTCATGTAACCAGGTACGCCCCATAATGGAATTATATGACGACTCTACGTCCACCACCAGGAACTTTGTCTTCGTCTTGACTCTGCGCCCAAATATCTGTGGTAGGAACACCTGAAGTTCGGGTTTCTTTTGGCTGGATTGCCTCCCAACTTGTTCGCCCATTTGAAGGAGGGCTTTCCCTTGATCTGGGAGAGAATTCTGTAGATTGGTACCTTGAACGCCATGTTGACTCCCATGTACGGGAATTTGGAGGAGAACCCATCTTTTTTTGTTCCGTTTGCTCATTCCCAGGCTTACACTCCCAACTTGTCTTTGTTGAACTATTTCAACCCGGTATGTTCTCTACTCATGTTTTTACTGAGGTCGTCATCGATCTTGGCGTACTTCTCGACCTTGTCCATGAGTTCCTCCATGTCCGTTGTTGGTCTTCTTGTGAGCGACTAATACAACATATTTTCCTTTGGCAATCCAATCTTAAAGGATGCTACTACAATTTCAGGGTTGCACGCCTCCACTTCATTCATTGTTTTTCAGTACCGATGTGCATATTCTAGCAGTGCTTCTCCACTCCTTTTTGTCAATGTCAGCAGCGCTCCCATATCCTTAGGCTACCGACTGCTAGTAATGAAACAAGTTATGAATTGCTCAGTGAGCTGGCCCCAGCTATCCACCGAGTCCCTAGCAAGTCCATCGAACCATTTCATGGTCAATTCTCTGAGGATGCTAGGAAATATAATGTATAACAAGGACTCATTCTTCCACCGTCATTAACTGTCTATAATGACGAATATGGGCTGTTAGATCCATTTTCCCATCATAAAATTGAAGTTTGGGAAGAAAAAATTACTCAGGATCCTTGCACATTTGATCCACTTGGTAAATGGAGATACCTCTGTCCCTCTAACGTATTCTTCCGTGGCCCTTCACACCAAGTCTCTTGCCGATTTCTGCTCGGGCTTCCTTGACTGACTGTCGAGCTCTTTAGTGATGAAGTGCTTCCACTCTTCTACTTGGGTTTTAGTTCAGTGAGACTTTCTTCAGTATCTAGCTTCTAGCGAGTCTTCACCATTCCTCTGCTTCCACCTGTCTGGTGTCCTTTGTTGTCGTCTTCTGGAGTGTCAAACATCTTCATCAGCAATCTCCTTTTCTTTGACACTCCTAAGCTTTTCCTTTAACTTCTCATTTTCATGCTTTAAAGCCTTCTCTCTTGCGTATGACTTCTTAAACATCACGTCATGTGCATTTAATCGGTCTTGCAGAGACTGAACTAACTTTGTTAGGGTGGGATTATCCCCCTCGACAGGGAGGGATTCGTCCTGCAGACTATCATTTTGGTTTTCATTGTTGTCAGGTTTGAAACTGGCTGAAGAGCACTTGTCATTATATTGTTCATCTTGGTTTTCGTAAATTTCTACCCTGATGTCATTATTCGAGGGGAACGACACATGGTAGTTTGGATTCGATTCCTCTTACTGCGCATCAGAACTGGCCGACGATCCAATAGTTCTTTCAACTTTGCCATTGTTTTTTGTTCGAGATGTATTCTCACTGATGGTGCCAAATGTAGGAGGAAAAATTGCAATACCTCCTAGGTTTGATGAAGAAAACTTTGTTCCTCTTTGAAAACCTACCTATAAAAATGAACAAATTGCTTAGGACCAAAATGCTTCGATCGAAGGCGCTCAAATACTTAAGTTAGTAACTGTGTAAGAGAAAAAATAACTGCAACGAGGATTCTACTTACCTTTTGTCATGCATCCTGATTACTTTATATAGACTTTTTCTGGTTTCTAGGGTTTCTTTTACTGGTGTGGGAGATGACACATCTCTTTTCATTCGGGAATATTTGTTGGGGATCGCAGAAATCTCTCAGACCTTCCTTTGATTGCAGCTCTTCTAAATCATTGACTTTGTTTAGTTGTTGTACCTAAATTCCCTAATTATAGGCGTTTTTCCCGTTGTTCGATTCAGGCCACACCTTCAAGCTGAGCTGTGCATTTGTGCTCAATAGTATGAATCGAGCTGTTGCAATTCAGTTCAGTTTGTCCCAAATTGCTTATATTTGTGACCCACGTGACCTGTCCCTTCATGATCACGTGCGTGTATTATCTGCCTATACACGTGGCATAATTTTATGCACCTTCATAAATAATCAACAAAGTAGACCAGATCAAGAAATTGACACAATTGTTTCCAAAAAAATCTATGAAAATATTACATACCTTGTCCTCAAACATATATTTTTGTTCCGGCGAGCAATGAAGAATAGGGGCTTTCAGATTTGAAGCAGAAGGGCATTCCAATTTTGATGCAGAAGGTGTATAGCATACATATTTGGTGGAGGTTGCTAGGGTTTTCAAATTTGCTCGGCCTTGCCAGATCTGCTAGGGCTTTGAGTCTTTGACGAAATGGTGGGGTTCTGGTGTAGTGGAGGCAACGAATTAGGTTAGGGTTCAAAATTTGGGGATTTAGCCATTTAAGGTCTTAAAACTTTGAGAAGAGAAGGAAAGGGAAGAATGGCCATCGCCCGTCGGGGAAGAGAGACGGGCCGTCGCCACCTGGTGCTCAATAGTCACTTAGCCAGAGAGAGAGAGAGAATTAGATTTTGAGAGAATAAAGATTTTAGGGTTAGGGAGGGTTTCTATATTTTTATAATTATATTATAATATATTATATAATTTACAATTTATATAAAATTATTTCTTCATAAAAATTAGAGTAGAAATTTTTTTGCAAAAATTTAAGACTTTGACTCCAACTTCGACTTCGACTTTGACTCTAACTCCAATGAAATCAAATTTTTGAATTTTTGGACACAGTTAACTTTATGTCACATTTACCCCTGTACAGCTAAATTTTTAGGGTTTCAACAGGTGTTGAAGGATGTACAGAAATGCGATAGTGGGACCTATGTAGGACTTTCAAGATTGAAATTCACCCCTATTACTAAAATTCGAAATCGAAAAGATCCGGATTCGAGAGAACCCAAATCACCAATAAATATGCATGACTGTCCCGCCAGTCTTCAAAACACGGAGCAGAGCGCATAGCGTGTGAAGAGTGAGGCTGAATAGAGAGAGAGAAAGTGGTGTAGGAGAGAGAAGAAGAAACTGGAGGGGAATTCCAGGTCTCTCTCTCTCACCCTCTCTATCTATCTTTACCTCGTTCGATTACTTTCGATCTCTCTTCTCTATTTGTTGAAATACGGTTTGTTGCTAATGAAAGCCTGAAGATCCCTACGTCAACTTCAGAGAACGCTACTACCAAAGGAGCAACCAATGCTAGGTGCATGAGTTTTGATCTTTTCTGTAATCTCACTTTTTCCAATAATCGATGAAAAGTCTTCGAAGTTTTGGAAATTTGTTGTTTGATGGAGTTTTCTGTACAAATTCGTTTTTCCTTAGCAATGCTAATCGTGATGAGGATGCCATGACTGTGATGAACACACATGTTGCTGAATACCTGGAGAAATTAGGGCTTTCGGAGGCCGCTAATGAGTTCTCAAAAAGAGCTGCAAAGGATCCACTGCCTGAAGTGGAATTGACTCAAGTTTTGCCACAATTTTACGCTGCTTCACGTATCTTGGAGGCAACGGAAATGGGACAGCAAGCAGTGAGTTTGTATTCCTTGTATCTTTTTATTTCTTTCTTCTCTTACCTCAAAAATATACAGTGTGTGTGTGTGCGCGCGCGCGCGCGTGTTTGTCTGCGTGTGCTAGAGGCATATTCTCTGGTGAAAATGTACTTATGACTTGTTACATTGCATAGAATCCAGAAGGACCAATAACTGCTGCGGAGAGGAGTCGAATCTGGTCGAAACTGCATAGTGCGCATGATACTTTTATTGAGAAGCAGGCAGTGAGTATCATTTTATTTATGAGATTTGTGTTTCTTGTTTTCTTACCTCACACAACACATTCAGATGTGTGTGTTTGTACTCTGTACATATCTCTGTTTGTATCTGGCTGAAATAGACAGAGAAAGTGGAGAGGAATTTCAGGTTTTTCTCTCTACTTCCTTCGGTCCCTTTCAATAGATCTCTATTCTGTATTTTCTGAAATTCTGTTTTTTTTTTGATTCAAATGAAGCCTGGAGATCCGTAAGGCAACTTCAAAGAATCGAACTAGCAACGGAGCAACTAGTGCTAGGTGCATGATTTTTTAATCTTTTTTGTAATTTTGATTGTTGAATGAATTGATGATAAATCTTTGAAATTTTGGGAAATTTGTTGTTTGATGGACATTTTCGGTAAAAATTCATTCTTCCTTAGCAGTATTGATCGTAATGAGGAGGCTATGATAATGCTGAATGGCTTGGTCGCTGAATATATAAAGAAATTAGGGCTCGTGGAGGCCACTGAAGAATTTTTAAAGAGAGCTCTGAAGAAACCACAAGCTGACTTGGAGTTGACTCGAGTGTGGCCAGAATTTTTTGCTTGCTTACTTTTCTTGGAAAAAGCTGAATCAGGAAAGAAGGCTGTGAGTTTCTTGTTTTTTGATATATTTGTTCCTATAGGTATATTCTTGTGTAGTATGTAATATGACATGGTTGCATTTCACAGCATCCAGTACCTCTTGAGGAGTTAGTTCAGATCATGACACTTTTGCGTTTGCGTGCTACTTCAACTGTCTCCAATGAAACTGAATCTCAAAACCAGACTGTGAGTTTCTTATTCTTTTAGTTTGATGTATTGCTTTGTAATTTCTTACCACACGCATAAATACACACTTTGTGTAGATATGTGCTTATACTGTCCCAAAAGAAACTGATTCTGAAAGAAAATTATGAGTATCATATTCTTTAATTCTTTCGTGTAAATATACGTTTTTATGATTAGGTTATATTTGTATCAAAAGTAATGCATTTCCTTTTTGCAAAATATATTTTCCCATGTTTCTGTGTCTCTAAAAGTATATTTATACGTATGTTAATGTTTCTGTTCTATTTCAGAATCCATTTGATGAGTGCTGGGGATGAAAGGTCCATTCCTGAAGAAATCTGGAAAGATACTGCATATCTGTTTCTGTAGTTTTTGGGAGATAATACTGTTCCACTTCCACTGATAGACAATTGTGAATACGAGCGTTGTTTACTTGATTGGTTCCATACTGTGGTTCTCGAATCTGTCACTGTGCCTTTTTGGGTATGTTAGTATTGCTGATGAACAATTGTAAATACCAGTATCGTGTACTTTACTTGACTGGCTGCATACTTTGGCTTTTGAAGAGCACATATTCTACTGATGCTCTTTGTTCATTTCTTGACACCTTATTGTTTTGCAGTGTGATGGATTTTCCTATTCCAAATTAGATGTTTCTGTCAAAAGAACACTTTTATATGTTATTTTGTGTACTATTCATTATTGTTGATGAATGCGGAAACCTAGGAATAGAATTTGAATCCGAGGGGGAATCATGGACACAGCTGAAGTACACACAAGCAATGGCATCCCTGTTTCAAAGTTCAGGATGCTAATCATAATTCTTAGAACTTTCTAGACTTCTCTCGACTCTTTTTTAATGTCGGTGTTTCAGATGGGTGTGGGGACTTCTTTAGCAAATAGCACATGTTGTATTCAATGCCTTTTCAATGGAGCTAGAAGAAGTGTAAATTATTTAGCAGTGCCTCCAAGGAAGTCGAAGCAGCTGTGCTACCTGGATGAGAAGCCTCTAATGAGTAAAATGCCAAGCAAGAAGAACTGTAAAAAATCAAGTAGACTCAGGTATATCAATTTTGACCTAACCTTGTTTCTTTTAACATTTTATTTCCATGGATGTGGCATATCTGCACCAAACTGTTGAAACAAGCAATCTTGGACTGAAATGCCTTCATTATTTGGATATTGAAGTGTTAGAGTGTATTAGTTCTTGTAAAATGTGTTCTTGATGTTTTGCTTTGGTCATTACTTGTTCTGCTATGGATCGATAGGCCACATACCCCTACTTTTTTCTATCTTTTTTTTTGTCTAAAAGATTACATTAGCTCTTTGTTTTTGGTGATTGCTCGAGTTAAAATAGAGGTTTTATTTTGCCTATATAAAGTTATAGGATTGGTTGGCAATGAAGCTGTATACATGTTTTAAGAAGATGCAGGGTGTGAATTTTCGTGGAAAGTACACTGTCGATTGTTGTTTTAGTGATTGGGTGTGTATGTCAAGGATGGTAATGTGTTCAGTGACTTTGTTCCCTTTCACTTGTCTAGTGATTATGGACTATAAATGGGTAACTGAAACTGTAGGAGTTTGGGGTAATCTAGAACTTTGGGCACAAGTAATAAAACTTTGGTGCAAGCCAGAACAAAGCTATAATTTAGAACGTAACTAGTACGTAGTTTCATGAATGTACCCCTTGCGTTCTAGATTCCTTGCTTGTACTCTGTTCTACTTATTGGCTTTGTGAACTTTGCTATTGCCTATTGCTTAGATTTTCTCTGGAAGGAATTGTAGGTATTGTTGATATAATTATTCAGATGGTTTTTCATTTTAATTTTCTCTCACCCACCTCTCACTAGGAAAAAGGAGCTCTATATGAAGGAAAATTGCATTTAATGTCTTAAAGGTACTTCCTGATCCATCCCTTAGATGGCCTTTCTTTAAAAAAATAAAGAGCTCTACCAGCCTCATTGAACAATCATTTCATTCAATGAAGATTATAAGTGATTATTTGTCGGGAGAGTGGGCGAGTAATAATTGTGTAGACCAAAATTCTCATTTGTCAATATAATAATTTATGTATTGAATGTCAATGTGATCGAATTACATGCTTTGTTTTCAAATGAGAATCCAATCTGATTGAGCACATTTCATATGATACATAATTTTCAAGAATCAAATGAATTATTTAACCCAACAATGTTTGTTATGTGACCTTTTTCAACGTATGCTATTTTGTGCTTGATCAGTAGCTTTTTACATATATGGGCCTTGTAGCTTTCTATTTCTCTGACGCTTCACCGCATACATATCGTAGAAGAAGTTTTCACAATTACTTTCACTTTTACTCTGTGTGTGTATGTTCAACATCCCCTCAAAAGAATCTTTATTTTTGGCCGAGGTTAAGCGTACCTACTACCTACCTTCATTGACAAATTATTAAGTCCACCCCTTCTATATCCATTCCATTAAAAACAAAGCTCACCTTATATTATATATACCATTTTTAATAAGTAAAGTCACTTTATATTTTGTCATAATTAGGGTTGTACACACAAAAATACTTTTTCAATATGAATTTTTTTAGTGATATACATGTTAGTATTACTTATCAATTTAATTCTATGTTTGATTTCATGTTTGTTATATAAATTTTCATTATTTTTGGTATGTTTTTATATTTCTATCAAGTTTAATAATTTTTTTTTAAAAATTTATATGTGTGTGTGTATATATATATATATATATATATTTTTTTTTAGATTATTTATTATTTTTTATTTTGTTAAGGTTTTACCTCCATACTTGTTATTTTTTTCTTGTTCGATATTGTGTCTGTGCTTGATGGTTACTTTTTTTTCTTATTCAGTTTTACGTCTTATAGTTTTACTTGTTCTTTTAATCTTTATTTGATTTTTTTACTTTCTTGTTTTAGTTTACTTCTTTTTTTTCTGTTGTTTTGGCATGTTTTTTTTTTCTTGTTCGTTATTCATTGTTTCAATTTTGATTGGTTTTTTTTTTTATTGTTTTATAAATATATTTATACATTTAAACTAATTGTTTTCTTTTATTATTTTTTTTTATAATGATTTCTTTCATTAAAAAAGTGTATATAGAATGAGTGCGTTTAACTATTAATAAAGTGTATGTAACATGTGGTGGACTTAGTTATTAATGGGGTTGGTATAGAAGGGTGAATTTAGTAGTTTAATAATAAAAAAATTAAATAGAATGAAAATGAAGATTTATGGGGTGAAATAGCCCCGCCCTAGAAAAAATAGCGTTAAAGAATACAGTGGTTTCCTTCTAAACAACCTGAAGATAAAAAGTAAACAGTATATATCCAAAAAAAAAAAAAACACGACCAATTATAATTGAACCCACACTCTCTAAAGTGGAAGTCAAATACCTTATGCATTTTGTAGTTTTTGCGCCATGAGAAATATTTACATAGTAGTCATTATTCGTGTCTGAACACACTCTTAACATAAAAAAATTGTCAATGAAATGGGGCATCCATTAATGTCTTAAACAAAAGAAGTGCAAGGATTGAAATGAAAAAATTATATCACACTAATATAATCTGAAAATCTCTACGAACTTAAATTAACACTATTTCAAAATTATCCTTCCATTTATTTCTTCATGGTGGCTTTCCTTTTCAATGAGTATTCATTTTTTCAATATCTTGCTAAATATAATAAATAGGTTGTCTAGATCACATTGAACTACAAATCAAATTTCCAAAAAATAGAAAAAAAAGTCCAACTGAACTAACATTGTTCAGCGAATTTGCTTGTAACTGCAAGAACAATTGATTTAAATTATTTGCTACTATGATTTTTCAGATGCTACAAAAATATTCTCACGCCGTAACTAAACCAAATCAACAAAATCAAAATTTCACTACTTAAAAAAAAATTGATTTAATTGACATTTTTTGTATCATTTTGGTGTCTATTTTGCACAATTCAAGGATTTAAAAAATATGAACATTAGCAAGAGGAAAACTATGCAAATAAGGAAAAAAAAATTAATAGTTGGTTTAGAATATTATTTTTTTTTTGTGCAATTGGTTTCACTTATTTTTTTATTGGTAATTAACTGGACTTTAAATTTTTTAGTTTTTTTGGTGCAATTGATATTACTTGTTTTTTTATTAGTGATTAGCTTGGCTTTGCATTTTTTATTTTTTTTGGTGCAATTGGTATTACTTGTTATTTTTTATTGGTGATTAGCTTGACTTTGAATTTTTTTTTATTCGTGATTAGCTTGACTTTCAATATCTACAACCTCATATTTTTTTTTAATATTTAAATATTTTTCTGATCTATAAAATTATACAAATATTTTGAGTAAATAAGTCTAATAAGGATCGTCAAGACAAACAAATAATGTCAAAAATGCTAAGAGAGAAAGTATGAGATAATATTGTTTGTCTTGACGATCCTAATTAGATTTTCATTCTATCTCATCTATAGAGAGAGAGTATGGGAGATGAGAGAGTGTGTGTTTAAAATATGGAGAGAGAGAGAGAGTTATATACTAATATACGTATAAGAGTTAGGTGTATGAGATAGAGAGAGAAAGAGAGTTATATTAGAGATATAGAGAGAGAGTATAGGAGATGAGAGATTGTGTGTTTAAAATATCTGTGACGGAGAGAGAGAGAGAGTTATATACTAATATACGTATGAGAGTTGAGTGTATGAGATAGAGAGAGAAAACGAGTTATATTAGAGATAAAAATCTTAGAGTTTTAAAAGGAATGAAAGTTTAATTAAAATCATAGGATCAATAATTTTCAATCGATCTGAACAGCAAAAAATTTACGACAAATAAATTTACCTACTTTATTATATAGACTAATAATAACTCGTGCCTGAAGGCACTAAGTAACTCAAAAACCTCGAGCACTAATCATGCAATTTAAATATTTTCAAATAGTACTTTATTTTTAATTATTTTCTTTAGTTACACAATTCAAAATCAATTTGAAAACACTATTTTCTAAAAAAAATTAACAAAACTTATCTAAAAACATGACTCCTAAAAAATATCAATATGTACATAATTTATATATATTTAATTATTATACCTAAAAAATATCTTCTTTTTTTTTGATAGAAGTCAATTTTGGTGTGTGTGTGTTGGTGGGTGTATAGAGAGAGAGACCGAGTTATATGAAAGATGAAAGTATGATATGAAGAGATAGGTTAGAGTTTTAATGAGTATTAGATGTATTGTTATTATTAGATATATATAGAGGTCAAACTCTCTAACTCCTATTTCTTTATTACTATATGCGCTTAGAATAGAGAGTGTGTGTGTGTGAGTGAGATAAATAGAAAGATAGAGTTATATGAGAGATGAAAGTGTGTTTAAAATGTGTGAGAGATAGGAGAGAGAGAGAGATGTAAAAGGAATGAAAAATCGATCATATGGATAAAGATATAGATAGATAGATATATAGGATGACATACATGGATAGAGTTACACAGAGACAACGGTGGGTACGGGCCCACCTTCAAATTTTTATAAAAAATGTGATATGTATATTTATATTTATATATTTTAAAAATTATACACATATATTTTTACTTGTGCTCACTTTATAATTTTCTTATTTCAACTATTTACTTTTTTTTATTATAATAAG